CTTCGAGTCCCTGCACTGCTAGAGGAGGAAGTGTGAACCCAGTAGCTTCGAAGGCAGAGGCTCGGGCTCGGGCCAGGCTCCGCAGCTGCAGCCTTGCTGGCTGGGCTCTCCATTGCAGCATCCAGCTGTGGCTTCCAGTTCCCAGGAGAGCACGTGCTCACCAGCCCGCCACGTGTCCACCCCACAAGCTGGCCACGAGGTATGAACCCTGGGGCAGAAGGCCTCATCCAGCTGTCCATGGGAGAAGCAGACCTCCAGGTGAAAGGCTGGCTGCGGCTCCTAGCAAAAGGAGATACAGACAGCAAGGGGACGATGACAACAGGTGTCCACCACGCCTTCTATTCCAGGGAGAGAGTCGCGCACGCTGGGCCCAGGAAGGACAATGGCAGTGAGTCGTGGGGAGATGTGCAACTGAACTCACTGAACTGGGGGGATGGGGCCCAGACTGACAAGCCACCACGCCGGTCCCGGGGCCTGTGGACACGGCGGGCAGCCACGCTAACATTATCCTTAAGTGGCCCTGGGGAGAGGCTGTCGTGGTCTTCCATACCAAGGTGACGTCGGGAATGATTTTTCTCCTTGGAACCCACTTTCTGTCTTCTCTCTGAGCAGGCGCAAGCTAACGCAGATTCCCTTTACACCCACCTGGAGAGCCAGGTCCTGTCAAACAGCCTCCTCACAAGCCAGACCCTCTCCCTGCAAACCACTCGTCAAAATGATGGAACAAGGCGGGTGCTGGTGACTCACATCTATAATCCTAGCTACTCAGCAAGCTGAGACCTGAGGATCACAGTTCAAAGCCAGCCCAGGCAGGAGAGTCCATGAGACTCTTCTCTCCAGTTAAATACCCAAAACGCTGGAAGTGGAGCTGTAGCTCAGGTGGTGGTAGAGCCGGTGCTCCAACTTGAACGGAAAAAAAGCTAAGGGAGGCGCCAAGTTCAATCCCTAGCCCAGGAAAAGAAAAAGAGAAGAGGAGAAGGGAGTGAAGGGAGGGGAGGAGAGGAGAGGGAAGGGGCGAGAGGAGGGGAGGGGAGGGGAAGAGAGGAGAGGGGAGAGGAGGGGAGGGCAGGGGAGGGAAGAGAGAGAGAGGGCTGGGAAGGTGGCTCAGTGGTAGAGTGCTTGCCTTGCATGCATGAGGCCCTGGGTTCAATTCCTTAGCACCACATAAACAGAAAAAAGCCGGAAGTGCTGCTGTGGCTCAAGTGAGCTGAAGAGCTGAGGGACAGTGCCCAGGCCCAGAGTTCAAGCCCCATGACTGACCAAAAAAGGGGAGGGGAAGGGGGGAGGGGGGAGGAGGAAGGGGGGAGGGGAGGGGGAGGGGGAGGGGAGGAGGAGAGGAGGGGAGGGGGGAGGGGGAAGGGGAAGGGAGGGGGAGGGGGAGGGGAGGGGGAGGGGAGGGAGAGGGGGAAGGGGGAGGGGGGAGGGGGGAGGGGGGAGAAGGGGGAGGGGGGAGGGGGGAGGGGGGAGAAGGGGGTGGGGGGTGGGGGGTGGGGGGGGGAGGGGGAGGGGGAGGGGGAGGAAGGAAACAGAACAAAGAAAGGCTGGAAGATATGCTTTTTCCCTCCCTACTCCTATCAGCAAAAAAAAAAAAAGGAAAGAAAAGCAGTTTGGTGAATGGAAAGCAGGCTTTGTGTGAGTGTCTTGCAATTTAATATCCTTTCCTTTCCAATGCTGAACAGCCACATCAGCTCAATTTCCAGTTTCCAGCTCCTTTGTGTGGGGCTGGCAACACATGTCCAACAGCATGCTGCTGGCAAGCGCTCCACTCCCGGGGAGCACACAAGCAGCTCCAAACCTCTGCACCCCTCATCCGCTGGGATCTTCCACTCCGTGCCGGGACACGCCAGGGCAACGCAGGCTCCCAATGGGAAAAGACTAGGCCGGGCAGACACAGCGGCCCGGCCTGCGCCCACACATGCCAACACGGAATCACACTGTGGAGGAGTGCCCACACCGGGCAGGCCAGCACCCGAAGCCCAGCACCCCGCCTGCGGATGGCCGTGGGCTTCACGCTGGCCGTCCTCCATGGGCTCCGTTGGGCTGCAAGTCCCACAAGTGGCCACAGGCTCTGCTATTCTGGCCGGCCTCCTTCCGGTGTCCCCACCACATCCTGGACACCCTTTCTAGCGGTGTCCCTAAAGAAGGGTCAGCCTTCACACAGCTTACTTAAGGTCGAGAGGCTCCATCCCATGCCAACACCAGGCTCCATCCCTGCCCTGGTACCTGGGCACTTAAGAGAACTGAGGCCTAGCTGGGGTAATCAGGTAGAGCTGTGTGGCCTCAGACAGGTTACTAAGTTCTCTGAGCCCTGTTTCTTCCTCAGTAGAAAGTGACTAATGCAGCCATCTTACAGACTAAGTAACATTAGAGAGGAAGTCTGAAGCTGAGCACCAGTGAGTCACACTTGTACTGTTAGTTACTCAGGACACTGAGACCTGGAAGAACAAAGTTCAAAGCTAGCGTGGGCAGAAAAGTCTGTAAGATGCCATCTCCTATTAGTTAGCAAAAAGCTGAGCTGGAGTCATGGCTCAAGTGGTAGAGCACCAATCACGAGCAAGAATGCTGAGCAAGCATGAATCCCTGAGTTCAGGCACTGGTACCAGTAGAAAGAAAAAAAAAGGGGGTGGGGAGAGGAAAGAAGAACTTGCCCAATTCACTTGTGACCAGTGAACACATTTTAAAAGAAGTTGTCACTAGAAATTCTACAGTGACTGAGCAGAAATAGCACCTCATTGTAACCTGACAAACTGCAGTGGCTCACATGGGCAGGAAGCACACACCTACCCGAGCCTCACAACTGCTCCCTGACCACAGGGCTTCAGAGAGGGCTAAGGGAACATGGCCAGGGAAAGAGTGTGAACATTCGAGCCTGTGCTCTTCTGGAAGGTTAGCTATGAAAGAGTCTGTGCTTGGACCTCAGCCTTGTGCTGTTTAAAAAGCCGGGGGGGGGGGGGGCGGGGAGAGGGGAGGACCCACAATCCTACTGCCCAAAGCGTGCACAGAGCTGTGTCCTCTAATGGGCCTGGAGCGCATGGTTGGTCTCCTTGCCACCAGCCAGGCGAGGTGATTGGAGACCCCTCCTGCTCTCAGTCTGAAGACTCCAGCTGAGCCCAGCTCTCCCTCCCACCTGAATGTGGGAAATCTCGGGGTGTGAAGAAAGCAGAAGATGCAGTCTCACTGCGCATAGCACGCATCGATTGAAATAAGACTCTACAATCAATACAAGGGAGAATTTCCGCTGAGGCTCCATTAAGAGCTGGAAGGAGTTTCAGGCATGACGACCTTGCTAAACAAGTAGAGCAAAAATGACTCGGGATGACATTCGAAGGGAAGGCATTTTTGTGGCCCATCCCCCTGTGTTGTGTGTGGAATGCTAGAGATGGAACCCAGGGCCTTCTCTACTAATCCAAGTGACGCTAGCACTCGATCACCCAGCTACACCCCGCAACACAAAAGCAGCATTTCAAACACAGCAATACCCACCCTAAGTTCACCATGTCTGTTTTGTTCCCCACCCAAAAAACAATACTTATGTTGACTCCCTTTTTTATAACCCAGTCACATACACATTAGCGTGTTACCTTCTAAAGGAAAGAAATCCACTGACTTTGTTTTAATTCAAAGTTCCCAAAACTTTGGTTTGAGCTGGGCATGGTGGCTTTTGTCTGTAATCCTGGCAACTTGGGAAGCAGACTGTGAGGATAGGGGTTGAAGGACAACAAGGTAGTATATTACTATAATCCCAGATATCTACTCAGGAGGTGGAGTTAAGGACCACATAGGCAAAAAATTAACAATCCTCATCTCAACCAACAATCCAGGTGCCACAATTCACACCTATGAGCTCAGCTACATGCAATGAAAAGTGAAGGAGGTGGCCATCGTCGACTACACCCTGAGTGAGCGCCTTCGGGAGGAAGGGCAGCTGATCCTGTTCCAGAATGTTCCCAATCGCACCTGGGACTGCATCCTGATCAGCCCCAAGAACTCACAGAACGGCTTCCGGTGGGTGGTGGTCAGCCATGACACACACACATACACACACACACCACATACATCATACACATAGAGAGATACATATACAAACACATAGATACACACGGACATACACACAGAAACAGACACAGATACACACACACCACACATACACATTACACACAGACACGCACACATAGATATACAGTCCAAGGCCAATTCCTAGGCAAATACAAGAGACCCTATGTGGAAAACAAAACAAAAAAGAATTTGGAGTGATAGGGTACTTGAGGTCCTGAGTTCAAAACCTTGGTACTGTCCCACCAAAGGCAAGAGAAGGAGAGGGAGAGTGAAAGAAAGAAAGACAAGAAGAAAGGAAGGGAGGGAGAGAGGAAAAGAAAGAAAAAAAAGTCCTCTAATAATTTGGGAGGCCTGTTTGGATGGCTCATCCAAACCCAGCACCTTCCACGCACATTATGCACACATGGCATCTTTGTAGAGATGAACAAGGATTTGTAGCAGATGCTGCAGTATGAGGAAGAGGAGGAACACCCCATTTTTGCCACTTACCTACTAATTCTTTACAAACTATTGCTAGGCTTTTCAAACAGTTGGAACCCTGCTCTGAAACTCTCCAGTCTGGCAGCCAGCTCTTCCTTCCTTCCCTTGGCACCAGCCCACACTCCTCAAGCCCCGGGCCCAGCGGCCCAGCAGCCTCAGCACTCGCCCTGAGAACCCAGGTGCCCGGAAAACCTCCACTCCCTTTGCTGCCTCAGGTTTGGCCACGGTTTTGTGTTTTGTTTTGTTTTTTTAAACAACTTTTAATAAGCGCACAAGGCTTACTACAATTTGTCGTTAGCTCTTTTTTCCTGTTTATGTGGTATTGAGGAATCGAACCCAGGGCTTCATGCATGCTAGGCAAGCACTCTACCACTGAGCCACCTTCCCAGGCCCTGGGTTTATGACTTGGGCATCTAAGAGCTGCACTCTGTGGCGGGGACACCATTAGGTGGCACTGGGCTCACCTGGTGGTCGATTTTGATCAATGCAATGTCAGCCTTCTCATCCACATCTTTGATCTTGGCCTCGTAGGTGGCTCCATTCTTCAGCTCAACCTTGACCCGGTGCTTGTTGGTTACCACGTGGGCGTTGGTCACGATCAGCCCATCTTCTGACACGATGAAGCCAGACCCACTGGCCACCGGCACCTCCCTCTTGGAGAAAGGAAGCCTGCAATGCACAGGAGAGCAGTCACCCCTGACGCCCCTTCACGTGAACACTTCCACACACTGAGCAGTTAAGACGATTTCTGGGCTATAGATAGTTTTGTGGGGAGACAATACTGGGGTTTTGAACTCAGGGCCTCGCGCTTGCGAGGCAGATATCCTAGCACTTGAACCACTCTTCCCATCCTTTTTAGCTATAGTTACAGCTTTTACTCTTTTCAATAAGGTCTCCTGTGTTGGCACCAGGACTGGCCTTGAACTGTGATCCTCCTTCCTACAGGTGCATCCAGATAGTCAAGATCTCGGTTCTGCGAGAGCCACTCACATCTAAGGATCACTGCTTTGCAAACAAGCTCAGATAGCTTCAAAACAGTATTAAGCCAATTTTTTTTTGCAACACATCAAAAGAATTCCATTTAGGAAATATTATTTGGGAATCTCTTCAGAGCCAAAGATTCTTAAAATATCTGAAGGGCTAAGAATGTAGTTTAAATAGTCAGATGGAAAAATGTCCTGAGGGAGAAATGTGTTTTATCGGGGTGTAGAAATCTATTCAATGACATTTTGACACTTTAATGTGTTTCAAATATAGCTCCCATGTTTTGCTAAAGGGCAACATGTATGGGAGAGAGCCTCACAAGTTATAGAGAAGGAAAGAAAGAGAGAGAGAGAGAGAGAGAGAGAGAGAGAGAAAGGAAGGAAGGAAGGAAGGAAGGAAGGAAGGAAAAGAAAGAAAGGAAGGAAGGAAGGAAGGAAGGAAGAAAGAAAGAAAGGAAGAAAGGAAGAAAGAAAGAAAGAAAGAAGGGAGGGAGGGAGGGAGGGAGGGAGGGAGTGGGGGAGGGAGGGAGGGAAGAAAAGAAAGGAAGGAAGGAAGGAAGGAAGGAAGGCAGGCAGGCTGGCAGGCTGCTTTACTTGCGGAACAACTCGATGTGAACCACAGCGGGAGCAATCTTCTCTACCACGTCAGCAATGAAGTTATATTTATGACGCAGACTATTGGGATCTTCCTGCCCTAAGAACGAAAGTAAAGACACAATCATTAATGATGCTGGGCCTTATATACATTAGTCACATATATTATGTATATGTATTATGTGTTACATATGTAATATATATTATATATGTTATATTATATATATATATATATATTATATATATATAATTTAGGGAAATATTTAATAAAATATGTTTGAGACTTATATACTAAGAACTCAAAAACGCCATCACAATAACAAGACCCAAATAAACACAGAGAGATGCCCTATTTGTTGTGAAGGTTTGCTATCCAAAAACTTTTGATTTTCCCCAAATGACTCTGTAGCCAGCATGCTCCCAGGGAAAATCTCAACGGTTTTTTATAGAAATTGGTAACCCTGCTTTAAAAGGTATGCAGAAAGGAAAGAACCTATCTCAAAACAATTCTCATGAAAACTGCCTTACGTTCTGAGACTTTGCTTTGAAGCAGACACATTCTAAATAATAAGCATTAGTCACAGCAATTTACAGACACGGATACTCTTACTCAGCTCATAAATGCTTTCTCTACTCATTCTTAACACAACAAATGGTCCATTAAATACAGCTAACGTTTCCTATAGCTTTATGAGTTTAAAGCTGCCAGGATTTGATCCTAAGATAATGAATGAATCATGTCTCATCCTTGTAAACAACTAGTCAACTACACAACTTCATAAGTGTGGCCTTCTTGGAGGCTGTTAATCTGAGGTTTACAGAAAATATTTTATAACCAGAAGTGTGGCTCAAATGGTAGAGCATCTGACTAGGAAGCATGAGGCCAAGTTTAGGCCCCAGTAGTACCTAAAAAAAATCAATAAGGAATCAACCAATAAGCCAAGTTATAGTGGCACAAGCCTGTCAGCCCAGCTGTGCAGTAGACATAAATAGAAGGATCACTGTCTAGGCCATCTGGACAATAATGCATGACACTGCCTGAGCTTCAGAGATGGGCGGGTGGCTGAGCCCAACATTCCCAAATAGAAGCCACTAGCTCCCAGTTAATGCCACGTGGTTTCAGAGGGAGGCTGGCCTCCAAGCATCAAATCCCCATTCTGCCCTTCTACAGTTGTGGCACTGCAGACAATTGTTTTCCCGGTTGAGCCTCGGTTTCCCTTCCTAGAACATAGAGATGGAACAGCTCCTACTCTAGCACCTGGTGCATTCAACACCTCCAAGTGGATCCTCTCACATTTCTGAAAACTCCAAGAATCTCACTCTCTCCTTAGTCCCCCAAACACTGCACCCCATCCCAACCCTCACACGTGTCTATTTTTCCATCCTGCCAGCAATGTTTCATTTCCCTCCACTACAGCTAATCAAATCGCAGAAAAATAATACACCAATAGGTGTAGGGAATGCCCATAGGACATTCCCTATGGGCCAAGCACAATGCTAGACACAGATGTGACCTCTTAAGTCTTCCTGCAGGCCTGCATGATGGATCTTACAGTCAGTCTGCAAAAAGATGGAAACACAGAGGATAGGGGAAGGAAAGCCCATGGCTGAAAGTGTCAGAGCTGGCCAGTGGCAGAGGCAGAAGGGATCCTATCCACTGAGAGTTCCGCTCGGAGCTCCATGCTCTGCATCTGGGGGCTGGCCTCCCTTCTCCTCCTGCAGTCCCCTGCAGTCCACACCATTGTGAGATTATGCTTCATACTTCCAGACCAAGAGATCAGGGCCAGGACACAGGATTAACAACTCCATCTTCCCTTCCAGCAAGAACAGCCCACCATCCAATTTCTCAGCAGAGTTGATAAAGTGCAGCTAATTTGGAAAACAGAACGCAGTGTATTCGAGGGAAAAGAAATGAATCCTCCTTTATTCACAGGGAACACAGTGTTCCTCAAATTCAAATCAGTCACAAGAACAGACTGAGCACACCCTTGGCATTTTAAAGATCTGTCCTATATTCAGGACTGGCTATGGAATTTGCAGAGCCAGTGCAAAATGAACATAAAAACTCTGTTGGAGTCAGGTGCCAGTGACTCACGCCTGCAATCCTAGCTACTCAGGAAGCTGAGATCTGTGGTTTGAAACCAGCTTGGACAAGAAAGCCTGTCAGACTCTTATCTCCAATTAACCATCAAAAAGCCAGAAGTGGAGCTGTGGCTCAAGTAGTAGGGTGCTAGCCTTGTACAAAAAAAAAAGCTCAGGGACAGTGCCCAAACCCAGAGTTCAAGCCCTAGGACCGGCAGTAAATAAACAAATAAGTCTATGGTTTTCTTTACAAATTATTAAGACACTCAAGGCAGTGACAGAAGGGCTGTAAGATGGGAGGATTCTTCTAACCACAGGACCCTGTGTGAATACACAGGCCGAAGCCCACAGACACCTCCCCACCCCCAATCCTACCTGCGTGTATCAAGGTTGCCTGACCTTTTTTTTTTTTTAACTCCAAATCCAGATTGAGTGCTGAGTCACACTGGAAGTTGCCTGGGAGGTGCTGAAGTTATGGCTTCAGTCTGGGGAGCCCGGGGCCCACTGCTGTCCTCTGACAGCTCTGACACAGCACCTACCTGCTGAGGAGCAAGGTAGCACCCGCAGCCTCAGAGATCTGCGAGGCTGACCAGCACATGGCCAGCCTGGGCAAGTGTGCAACCTCAGGCTGGAGACCCCTTAAAGTTACAGTGGGCGGGGCGGTGGGGAGGGGGAGCTCAACTGGTGGTCTCTAAGGTCCTTCCTGCTCTCAAACCATTCGTGTTTCTCATCCACGTTCTTCACTGCCAAATACTAGCGCAGACAGACATTCATACTTAAAGGACTACAAATGGGAGCACAGGCAGTTCCAAGACCTGTCAAGAGTCAGCAACAAGTATAGCGGCATCATCCCAGGATCTGCTCAGCAGAGCTCAGCTGGGGCAGGGGAAGAGGAGCGGCTGGCATGTCTGTGGGGATGGTGGGTGCTCCTCCCTGGTACTGCAGGCTCAGGGAGGAGCCTGGCCGTTGGTAACAAAAGCAATACAGGGAAGAAAGACAAAGACATGAAATGCATGGTGCCAAGGTCAGAAATGAAAGCCGGTGTGGGGAACAAACACCCATTCACTGCTGAAGGACCAGAAACCACCTTGAGTACCTGAGGTTCTGGGGCAGTGCCTGCTGGGACCACCCCCCTACTACTGTGAGCCCAAAGTCCTTCCTGAAAGAGTCTGGACAAGCCTCCCCAGCCGTCTGCAGACTCGAATAAGCAAGCACTCTCTCATTGGCAAGGGAAGTATAAGCAGGGAAGGCAAATACAGCAAGCCTCAGCAGGGTGTTAAGGAAACCAGGAGTGATCTTTGGGCAAGGTTTTGGGGTGGGACACTCTTCCAGCTGTCATCAGCAACTCCCAGCGGCCAGTACCCCAGCAGTGGACCCGTGGGAGGCCCAGGCTCCGGTGCTCTATCCTCCAAGGGTCTGCAGCCACCGGCAGGTCTTGAATGTAGCCCCTCCCCCATCTACTGCCATGAGAACACATGCTCCTTTTCACTCTTAGGCTGTCCGAGAACCAATATCTTACATTTCTCTTTGATATTCCCATGGTCACTAGCATGGCCAGATGAATAGCAATTACAAAGAGATCTTAAATAAATCCAGGCTCACAATCAGATCAGGACTCTGGGGTGTGGGGCAGGTCCCGTCTGCAAGGGTTTATCTGTCTGTTCTTCTCCCTGTCCAGAACCTTCACAGGTACCCAAGGTAGAGCCAGAGCAGCCGAGGCTGGATCAGATGCTTGGCCAACTCTTCCCCCGTGTGCTTGTTCTGGCACCATTGCCCAAACCAAAGCTCCCTGCCCCGCCCCACCCCCAGCACCTCTGACAAGGGTGAAATCGCTAAAGAGATGCACAGAGCAACAAGAAGGAGGAGGATGGGGGTGCTGGTGAGCCAACGCCGAGTGCTGGTCACTGGGGTGCGAGAAGAGAGGAAGGGGCCTGGAATGTTGGTCTTAATGCTGACTCTGTGTCAGGGTACAATTCTGGCCGAACACAGGCAGAGGAGGCCCACAGGACACACCTGCCCCAGGTGTGGGTGGCAGGCTGGGGCAGGTCCAAGAGGCAGATGTGTAGCTGAGCGGACAGCTGCCAGCACACATTCACAGAGGGAAAGCACAATGGCATGATTTTTCCCTTCGCAAAGCTAGCTCCCTTTCTGAAGTTTCTTGCTAAACTTGACAATGGCCTGCGAAGCACAGGGCAGACGGCCAGCTGAGCTGGGGGGGAGGTGCAGAGGTGGAAAGAGGCATGAACCACACAGAAACTTGTAGCATTCTCTCCTCTTCCAGAGAACTTGGAATTCTTCTACCTTGAGTGGTGGAGAGAAATCAATCTAAACAAGTTCCTAAAGGCTAATGAGGCAGAAAGCACAAAGGAGGTAAGAGCTCCTGCTTGCCAGAGCGTTTGTCTGGAGGGAGGAGAAAACACAAAAAGCATAATCCAGGGAGTGCAGCAAGGGCGTCTGGAGAGATTCCTTTGCTCCGTGTGCCTGGTCTGGGCGGCTGCATTCTGTCCACCCCACTCCATTAAATTCCAAGGAAACTCGTCAGCATCGGCCAGACCCGCCTCTGCGCAGGGCTCAGGCATGGATGCGGCGGAAACAGAAGTGAGATCTTGCACATGCCAGGACCCCCATTTGACCAGTGCTGCAGCTGCAGATCCAAGGGCACACAGACCCTGGCAGGCACAGAGGAGCCCAGACACAGAGGCTTTCCTGAGCCCTGCAGGAAAAAAAAATGCCCAGGACAGACAGAGGCTGAACTGTACCCAGAGTGGCCAACAGAAGCCTAAAATAACCCTGAAAATCCCATGCGTCAAGGGAGCCTCCATGTGCCAATCAACGGAAGACAAGAACTAGAGGAAGAGATGCTGCCCTGGGGAGGGGTTCTCGGTGCCAAACTCCACAGCCCAGACCCTCAGCACTCTTGTTAAAAGCCACAATTCAGCTGGGCATCGGTAACTCACGCCTGCAATCCTAGCTTCTCAGGAGGCAGAGATGTGAGGATTGTACTTCAAAGCCAGCCCA